GGCTTGGCCTTGGCCAGCGTTGGGTCCGTCTTGGAGCCGCTGGCATTGGCTCTGTTGGATATGGGGGCAGCTTCCAGCAGCTTCCCACAGAAGCCACCCCTGTAGCCCCCCGCTACCAAAACCTTGCCATGCAAACCCAATACACTTCCCCAGACACTGACAGTTCATTCCAGTTTTTTTCTGCAGTTTTGTTCTTGGGTTTTTCTTCCTACATAATTTATCAGTTGACCACTTGATCTCTTCTCTGCTTCACTCAATATCCCTTTATCTCTCATTTTTCTTAGTAGCCAGTTTGTCTATTGTGTGAAATGTTTGCTAAAAGTCATCTCATCATTTCTTTAAATGTGCCTTGGAAATAGCAAAGGTCTTTCTGCTAAATATGATATCCTCCTGCGAGGAAGGATAACTCAAACATTTCAACTGCAGAAAGCTGAAAGGTTGAGAGAGACTTTGCAGCACTTTCCTGCTTGCTGTGATCAAATCCTAGGGGTCTTTTTGTAAGTACCACGTAGACTATTTCTGTAGTAGTAGATAAAATGAAAACTTCCATAAGGAGAAGGAATACAGCAAAAATTTGTATGTAGTGAAATCTTTGGAAGTCTGAGATATTGTGTATCTCCTCTTGCAAGCGCTTTGTCGGACTGAGGCAGAGCTGATTCCAAGGCTCATTTATTGCAAAAACAAAATACTATTTTCATCTTTTTTGGCAGTACAAGAGGGAGACTCTGAAGACAACGAAGTATGTGGAGCTTGTTATTGTGGCAGATAATCGAGAGGTAAGAAACTTAAAATTAAAAGTTATGGGAAGCGCAGGTAGGAAATGGGTAACTCAGTTCAGCTACCATGGTATTGCAAGCAATGCGCTTCAGACAGTTTTCAAAAGTAAAGCTTCTTCCCTAATTAAGGCTAAGCAATGGAAGGCACGATTAAGATAGGACAACACTGATAGTCAATTGTATAATTTCTTGCAAGACTTCATAAGGAATTTGACTCTTAAATAACTGGGATGTCTGGCAGTAATTGAAGAAGAGGCAAATACGAATTCACTGCCCAGGATCTCCTTGAGCTAGTTAAGTCTTCATTGCCACTGACTCTGCCCTCGGCAGGACCATCACTGTTTGGAAGACACGGTAGGATCCTGCCCTTGCTTTTGAAACAGTACTTTACCATCACGTTGCATGAAGCATGACTGCCTTCCTGACGGTTTGCAAAGAGAGCTTCAAAGCAAGTAACCAGGACTGGCTGTAGAAACGTTCCAGTGAGTTGAATGGCAGCCAAAGATCTAAATCTTGGTTTGAATTATTTTGCTACTTACTTTTTTTTTTTTTTTTGTCTCCATGAACACTGCTAGTTAGGGAACTACAATCACTCTGCTGCAAGAGCTGAAACAGCTAACAGAAGAACCTTTTCTTTTTCACAAAGCATCAGTCCCTGAAAGATCCCTATGTAAGACTTAGGGATTTTTAAAGCTTTTTGTGAGAACCAAAATCCTATCCCATAGCCTGTGCTTATTCTGAGGCAGACCGTGGTCCCATGAAGCCAACAGGAGTCTGCTGATGGCCTTTGGTTGTACTGTGTAATTCCCAAACATCACCGACAATGCTGGCAGAGTAAGGTGGCTGTTGGGGGGGAAGCTCTGTGATATTTGTGCTGCTAGTACATTGATCCTTTACATTCCAAGTTTCAGAGACAAGGCAAGGATGTGGAAAAAATTAAGCAGAGGCTGATAGAAATTGCAAACTATGTTGATAAGGTAAGAACATGAGCATTATTTCACTTTTTCCAAACTTACGCATTCTGAAGGATGTTGCTGTGAAATCTATGTTTCTTCTACTAGTAAATTAAGAAAGCCACTGTGTTCGGATCAGCAGCTTTCACAACCTTTGCCACATCTCCTTATCCACCCACCTTTTCAAGGAGCAAACTCTGCTGCTTTCCTAATACTCCAGTATTTCAGAGCAATGCTTCTCTCCAACCAGTAAAACCAAAAAAGTAAACTTAAACCTTTCGTATGCCCTTCAGCATACTAAGCTGTGAGTTCTGCTCTGCTATTTATGGGATGCATACATCTGTGGAAGCACTATTCCTAAGGAGATGTACGGTTTAGCCCTAGGAGTTTATTGACCTGGGAAGGGGGTGAGGATAATCACGTATGGAACAGCCCATAGAAAAAGGATTATTTTGAGGAGGAATGTAGAGAACAAAGTCCTTTGCAGCAGCAAGGGATGGTCCAATTGTAAAGCCAACAAAGGGCCTGTGAAGACACGGTCAATAAGATATATAGCCCAAGGAAGATGGCAGAATGAAAAATATGCAGTGCTTGAGGAAGCAGAAGTTGATGGCTGAGTGAGAGCAATAAGAAAGAGACATACACTGGGGTTTTTTGTGTTTGAAGTAATTTCTTGACAATAAACAATAAAAGCTAAAAGTCCTCTACAGTGTTTTTTGAACAAATTAACGATTATTTTTGTTGTGCTCTATGGCCAGAAAAAATCAGGAGTCCAGTAGTGAAATTATAACTGAGGGAGTCTTAATTTAGCTGAGAACTTATCAAGTGATACTTCAAGGGCAATAGCTCACGGAGAAGTATTCTTGATTAAAAACAAGCTGCTGAAGACACCTCCACCTCTTCCATAATTGTCTTGCTGACTTATTACTGGAGGACAGGTGTTTATATGTTACCTGCTCAAAATTAATTTTGCATGTTATAATATATTTATGTTTCATGCTTAATTTATGCTCAGCAAATGCCAATGTTATCCAAATGACTGTAATGCATATAAACAAGACAAAGATCTAGTATATGCTTTCCTCAGACTGTCAGCCAAATCTGGACTTGATCGATTCTTGAATCCTTCTTCACATTAGTCTCACATTAGAATTGTTATCTCTGCTCCATTGCTAATGCTACTCTGGCTCCCCTCTTGTAGCAACTGTGGCATTTACCAGTGGGATAATAGTGCATGTAGCCTACAGTGCTAAAATCACTTGGTTTTATCTGTTGTGAGCAAGACTCCATGACTCTGGCTAAATTTTCAGCTATTGTTTTGAACCACAACCGTAGTACAGCACAGCTGCCCCTCCCTCTTGAATTGCATTGGTGCTAGTGACGGAGGGCAGCCATGGAGAGAGACATCTGCGTAGCCAAAAGTCTGTTCAGAAGTGAAGGATGCGTGAAGGTAGTTGCTGCGTTTCATCTTGAAGGCAGATACCAATCTTGGGTGGAACATAAAGAAGTAGCATATCTCTGGATGTCTTTGAACGCCTTATCGGTATTTAGTCAGGTCAGAACTGTTTTCTGTAAGTCATGGAAATATTTTGTCTGAGTCAGTCCTGTCAGGTGTTCACTTTTGCCCTGAAGAAGGGATGATCTAAGCTTCTGTAAGAAAGGTTCATATGCACATTATGCTTCTGTTGAAACACTGTAATCCAATGTGGTCTAAAATGGATTGTAGAGACATGTTTCTATTTTTCTTTTCTCATTAGTTCTATAGGCCACTAAATATTCGTGTAGCCCTGGTCGGAGTGGAAGTATGGAATGACATGGATAAGTGCTCTATTTCTCAAGACCCTTTCACCAGCCTCCATGAGTTTCTGGACTGGAGAAAGCTAAAACTACTACCTCGTAAACCCCACGACAATGCACAGCTGATAAGGTAGACTTGACACTATATTCCATATTAGCCAGGATTTCAGTGATTTGAGAATAGCTGTACTGAATTCTTCCCCAGTTGCTAAGCTGTTGGGAGGAACATCTGTGCTCTTGAGGGTTTGTCTTTTCCCCCTGCAAGCATCAAACATAAAAGTGTTTTGCACAGCCCTTCAGCAGATGCTTCAGATTAATTTCCTTCCACAGCTCTGTAATAGCTCTGCTACTTGTAGGCCTTTCCTGAATACAACTCATGTAGAATTGTAGATGTGTAATAAGCTGGTAAATACTTAGGGTATGAATTTACAAGCAGTTTAAGCTGGTCTCAGCCTAAATTGTTACTGAAAAAGGCAGTCCTGTCCTCACCCCAAAAGTAGAGCTAAGGGGACACTATATGAAGCCTGTTTGTTAGTAGAAAGACCTCAGTAAACTTTAAAATGCAGTTTAAATTGGACAATTTGTTTGCATTTGTGACTTAAAATTAAAATCATACACATCTTTTACCCTGCTGTTGTTTCCTGGATTAAAGTAATTGAGTAAACATGCTCAAAGTAAAAGCACTCTTAAAAAAAAAGTAAGAGAAACACCCCTTTCTTGAACCAGGTATCATTTTGATCAATGAACCATTCTTTATACTCTACAGATAAACATGCCTGACGTCTTAGTAATTAAAAGGAGCTCTTTACTCATTATGTAGATATTCTTACATTATCTCTGTAAGAATAGAGTGAGCCCTTCCAAACCGTCCCTCGTGAGATATTTGATTACTCTCTGTGTAAAATAATACTGTATTTGGAATGATTACATTCTAGGCTGTGTATTATAACAAGTAGCATATAAACTTCCCACAGCATTAAAATAACCCTTCTTTGAGCTGGAGACATTATTTTTGTGTTTATATTTCTATTCCCAACTTCCGTCAGGGAAAAAAGAAAGAAGGGGCCGGTTACAGAAGTAAACCCAAAGGAGGGTGATCAAATGGATCTTTCTTGTAGCAGGGATGCTGTCATTGTCAGTTCGGCAAGTCAACATGACTAATCTGTGCTTTTCATTGTTTTAAACCTGCGAATGTCTGGAGCTGACACGTTTGAAATGGGATCTTTGTTTGAGAATGGCAGAAATACAAGACTGAAAATAATAGGGTGGTATCTTGGCACTGAATGGTGATTCTGTGATTCTTCTTCTCCTTTCCCGCCCTCCTGCAGCGGGGTGTACTTCCAAGGGACTACCATTGGCATGGCGCCCATAATGAGCATGTGCACTGCAGAGCAGTCTGGAGGGGTTGTCATGGTAAGTGGTAAAAGCACGGGACTTGAAACTGGCCCAACTGGTGCAACACAATCTCAAGTATTGCAGTACTGTATTCTGTACCAGAACATCAGCCCCACTTGTCCCATTTTCAGTCTCAACAGTATCTATATCTACACGCACATTGCTTGTAAATGATAGTTTCCATAGTGAAAAAAATCAAAATATAGCATTAAAATATATCATGACCTCTTTGCAAGAATCCTCTACTCCTAATTATCATTAAATCAGGTGCTGAGGTGCTGCAAAGGATGAGGACCAGAAGATGCATTTGTTATGCACTTGGGTATACTAGTGTTACAGGCAACAACACTCTATCCTGAATCTTTTATTATATTGATTTTATTCTGCATTTACAGAGTTTCCTGTGTAAGGCCTTATTTTCCATCTTTGCAGCACAGTGGGTTTATTACATTGCCAGACAACGAGAACAAACAATGGCAGCGTTCATTCTACCTGAGCCTCTCTCAAAGATAGAGTACTGGTAATGCTGCTGTTAGATGCTAGACATGGTGAACACACAAGTAAACATCTTAGCCAATTTCTGGAAGTAGTTCTAGAATATTTTCTTTCAGAATTTTTTTTTTTTTTTCATTTTTAACTATTTTGTGCAAAAAGTGGGGAAAGAAGTTTTGTGTTAACTAAGCTTTGCAATAGAAGTACTTTAAATAAAATGAGCTGTGGACTCCCAGAGCTTGCAGACTATTAGCAGGCTCAGCTGGTGACCTCAGAGCTCCACTCCAGAGCAGAAAGCCAGGGACCCCTAAAAGCCTCTTAGGTAGTCTCTGAGTTCAGCCTGCATGTGCTGAAAACCTTTGTGTTTCCTACAGCTTTGTCTAGGCTTCCAGCACCTGAGGTGATGTGGTGGTTCCCTCCAGCTCTGCTGGACACCTCAGCTGCAGATCCCTACACAAATGAGGTGGGAGTTCAGGAACACACGATATTCAGAGTTTGCACGGTCTCAAAACTCCCACTTCTTCAAAGCTTCCTGGGGCTAACCTGGAGCCTGGGACACTAAGGCTATTGCTTCAAGACAATCCATGTAGCAGGGTAATCCCCGAGATACAGCCCCTTGTGAAGCCCCTGCATTTCCTTCCTTCTTAACTAGCGTGCAAGCTGAGGTTGGTCCACAATGCAGGGCTCCTTTGTGGTCTCTTGGACAAGTAGGCAAGAAGCCAAGCTGGGGTGATGTGCGCATTCGTGGAAGATGATGTATAGATGGTTCAGACTGGGAGGATTTATGAGGTGAGCAGGGAAGGTGAGGTATAAGAAAGAGTGGGAAAGAACAATCAAATCACATAATTTGGAGAAAGTCATGTCAAAATTGTAGCAAAGACAAAGGCTTCAGTCTCTTGGTAGCTTTAGAAGCTGAGTTTCTAGTTGGTTTGTTACAGCTTTTCACTGGGTACCTGGGGGATAGGGACAAAAGGAAAAGGAGGAAGAGAGGAAGAAAAAGCTGTAGGAGTCTCCCAGTACATTTCCAAATCTTGGCAAAAGCATATATGAGGCAGACAGCCCCATTGTATCCATTTCACCCTCAGGCCAGCAGTCACTGCTTTGGCTTTATCTGCAGTTAGCGATGCCCTTAATGATGACTTTTTTGTCCTTTTAATTTTTAGCATAAGCTTTGAAATATGCTACGGTGTGTTTTACTGCAAAGTCAGTCCTCTTCGCTCTGGAAACTGTCATTTTAAACAGAAACAACAAAAACTATTTCATTCCAGTAACAACAAAACAAGAATCAGCGTTTCTCTAAAGTGCTCTCAGGGCTTTGACAGAGGAGAGACTGATTTATATGTCCAGGAGAAACCTGGTGCCTGCATATGAATCGTGGGCCAGGCTGCAGCTTCACTTGTGCAGGGGAGTGCGATGTTTCCCAGAGATTCCCACCTCAGTAAATTGAAACTTCTGGGCTGCAAATTAACTCAAGGCTTGCACAGCATAACTAGAAACGTTTCCCAGTTCTTTAAGCAAATCCTCAAAAAGGAGCCAAATCCAAAACAGGCAAACACTCACCCCCAAAACCCAAATGGGCAGCTGCCTAACCTTCCCCCGCAGTTAAGAAAGGCTAATTCAGGTGTATACAAAAAAATTTTTTATATATGCAGTACTGTCGTGGTTTAGCCGAAACCAGGACAAGTACCTACAGAAGAAAGCTCTAAATTTGGAAGACATACAAATGAAAGAAGGGTGAGGCTATAGTGCTCAAATGTGTCAACACTGGGCACCTGAACATTTGGCCATCCTTAAAATTCAGCCAACCTCTTACCCATCCCACCCCGAACACTCAATACCAAAAAGCTCCCACACTCTCAAAACTGATCTGAAAGGAGAGACAATGGAGAGATTACGTGAGAAATAACATTTGAATACAAAACCTGGAGTCATCCTTGTACGATCTGATTTTCCTGATTGGTTTTGCAGTTACCCAGCTCTACTATATGATCTGAATTCCTCTACCATGCCTCCCTGAGAGCCTGCCCCTCTCTACGGTTATATAGGGCTGAATTCTCTCAGTGGTAGGTGACACCCGGTCTCCCACTAATTTTAAGAGGAACTCAAAGTGGGGAGAGCAGGCATCTGAGTATGAGAAGCTTTTGGTGTATCAAGAGCATTATAATTTTATTTTGCTGTGATGGTTCTGTTGTGTCGTCGAAAGACGAAGCAAAAAGTTGACATTAAAGCAAGTCTTTGACACGATTCAGTCTTTGTTCTGTTTCAAAAGATTGCCCACTAAATTCATGGATTTAAAATTAAAATATTGCTGCATTGCTGTAATGTAATGTAGTGTTCTCACTCATGTCAAATTTCTATTGACTTTAGTGGGAAGTTAGGCTAAATAACAAGTGTGGAACTGAGGTGCTTGCATTTCAGCGAATTGCTTAAATGAAATAAAAGTGTGTTTTAGGAAATTTATTCCTACAACTGAGTGAAACTGCATGGGAAGTACAGGACTGGGGCATTTGCCCATTCTAGCTGTAGGGGACAGTATTTTTTTATTACAATTTGATCTGAATCTCTGTGGAATGAAGCAGAATTCAGCTGAAAGCAGCTGCATGTTTTGTGCAACAGCTTATAATGTCTTAACACTAGACGGTTGCTTATTCAGTGGTTGTGAAACTGTTTGGTAATGACTTTTACTGCTCAAGTTAACTTTAAAAGACCCTGATGGAGTAAATCAAAGTTCCATTGCTGTTCATTTCTTTAGGCCTTGTGATACTTAAATGGTCTCAGTATCAAATGGGACATGTCACTGTTTGCTTTGATAATCTTCATTTATGCTGTCTTTAAATAACCTCTTTTGCTGAGACATCACATTCCTTGTTTTAAAAACCCTGTCTAGAAACTGATAAAATTGCATTCCAAGAGGATCTGAGCAAGTAATGAGAACCGCATGGGCTGTAATAATTGTTTGCCTATTCAAGACCCAAATTACATTTCAGATCATTTCTTGCTCTGGTTTTGGAGCGGACTGTGTGAATTCTTGTTTTTATTTTTAATTGCCAGCTTTAGAGGTGTTCAAATAAATATAATCTCTGTTCAGTAAGAGAGACTGGCAAAATGAGAAAAACTGAGTTCAATTTGTTGTCTGTCTAGGTAGCTCAAAGCTTAGAGGAGTTTCTGTCTTGACCACATAGCCCTAATTTCAAGGCATCACTCCAGTGTGCTGCTGGTAAATTATATGGAATTATTTTGTTGTTTTCTTAATCTTCAGTCCTGGATTGTTTTCTGGTTGAGTGAGAGGTTGTGCTCTTTTTATGACATCGGGTTCAATTACATTGAATTCTCTAAATATTTCATAAATTGCTATGATTACAAAGACAAATCAATCTGTATGTGACTAGTGTCTAGATAAGACATCTCCATATGTAGGCATTGTGTATATATTTTCTTGATTAGTATGGATTATTTTGCTGCATAGGCTGAGTGTAGTTTCTTTACTAGGACAGGTTGTATAGCTTCTTTCAGCAAACAGGCATCTTAGAATATAACTGCACACAAACTGGCTGTTATGTTAGTCACAAGATTTTTATATTAAAATTTTAAAATTCAGCAAAAACTAAAAAGAAATCCTTTGTTAAAAGATAAAATTCTTCTGAGTTTATTCCAAATGCAGAAGTTTCTTGTTTTCAGAATGACTGTACTCTCTTTTTTATTTTGTTTTCTGTTTGAGAAATTATTTACTAAAAATATTAACACAGACAGATGAAAGAAAAAACTCTTAAATCTACCCCAAGTCATGTATTAATGGATTCATTAATATATAGCTAATGTTTTAGGCAGTTTTACCTTTCATTTCTTTTTAGTCTGCTGGTTGGCTTAGAAGATACTGTGTTATTTAAACTGAATGTATTCATATATGCTTTTAAAGCAGGCAGCTGTACGTTGTAATGCCATTTACTGACTGATAAATAGTGGATCATGCATTTATATTACATGTTTATGCCTTTAGGGAAAGCATTCATGTGAGTACAGTGGACTTTTTTTCCCTCAAGGAAAATGATCGATGTGGAAAGGTCTCTTACTTGCGGTTAAGCCAAAACATCAGTCCGATCAGCAGCCTGTAATCAGGCAGTGCCGTGAATTTCTCAGAAATAACTGTCCCAAAAATCAGCATTTCAACAAGGATTAATGTTAATATTTCCATTTTGACACTTGCAACATTCAGAATATTCATAGGTGTTTGTTGACAAGAGGCCATCGAAGATTTCGACTTGTGTTGTCCTTTCATTTTAAAAAGGAGGTTTTCAAAGGTACTTGGTCTTTCTTACCAGGCTTGTGAAATCTTGGACTTTCTGATATTGAAGAAACAGTCTGAAAAGTATTAAATAGACCGAGTGAATTCTCTTGCTGCATTTGTAGTTTACCTCCTGACATGAAGGATCTTCTCACTTTTCCCTCATCACACTCATAATGACCCTTTCCAACACTCCACATCTGGGTGACTCTCTTCTGCCACTGCCATGTCTTGGGAGTTTGGGGGTTTTATTGAGCAAGGGAATTTTAAGCCCTAAATAAAGAGATGGCCCAGATGTTCAAAGCTGCCCAATGGCCTGAAATGTCTAACGTGCTGGGGAAAGTGGGTGGCCAGGACAGATAGCCTGTCTTGAAATTCCCAGTTGGCACTTGATATATGTGGATGAATTTGAAATTGTGTCCATTTAACAACAGTGTAACTGCAGCTGGTAAGTTTATAAAACATTTCAAAGGACAGGCAATAGGACCTTAGCGGGGGAGTGTGTATTTTGAATTGCTTTTATATGTTGACTTCACTAGTTCTTTTGGGTTTTTTTTTTTAAGGATCACTCAGAAAACCCTCTAGGTGCAGCAGTCACCCTGGCTCATGAGCTGGGCCACAATTTTGGAATGAATCACGATACATTGGAGAGGGGCTGTAACTGCAAAGCATCTACCGATAAAGGGGGTTGCATCATGAACCCCTCCACTGGGTAAGTGCAAGGGTAAGCACTGGCAAGTTACAGTTATAGTGGAAAATTTGTAGTTTTGTTTTGTGTCTCAGGAACATTCGAGGGGAAAAAAGAAAATCTTTTCAGCACCTGTCAAATCTCACAGTTATCCACCTCGAGCTGAAACAACTAAACTTCTTGTCGGAGCACAACATGTACTGTTGTACCTTTCTATTTCCCTGTTATCAGTGTGAGAGACAAAAATGCCGTAAGCAAATGGTTAATTAAAAAAAAAAACAACAAAAACCTGCATTGCAAGTGTTGAATCAGAGTTTCACCTTCTCTCATCTTGCCACCCGAGTACCATAGTTATAATAGGAAATGAGCAGCGTCCCAAGGCCAAGATTAAGACGAATGTGTAGGAAATAAAGTAATGCCGGAAATATATTCTTAGGCTCTCTGTAAAGCCTTTGTCTTGTGCAGAGAAGGTTTTCGGTTTTGCACAAACTTTCGCATTTCACCCCTTGTTATAAGTATGTAGGAGTATTAGCATGTGAGCAAATTAAATCTGTAAAGTCAGTGGGGTTAGGGCTGTTCAGTGGCCGGAGGGAGCTCTTCCAAGAAAAGATATAAGACACTGTGGGAAATAAAGCCAGTGAACCCGTGGTCATCTCTCTGAGTCAGTGCCAAATAGTTACTCTGCTGCTGATAAAGGCACCATGTCAATGGGGGAGCATAGTGGTTTTGTAGACACAAAAAGTACAGGCACCATGACCAGGGTAACTAGTTACAGCTTGCTTCTCTGTATTTTAAAGTACTGTTAGAAACTGAACGATATAATGACTGAGTTCTCCATGTCCGTATTCAGACAAGAACTGACAGGCTTAAACTGAAGTAAGAGAGAGTAGATTTACCAAAGCTTTCTGATGGTAAGTGATGTGCCGGACTGGAATGCCTGCAGAAATGTTACTGCCTGTGACTGGAAGCTGGTGAGAACCAGTCGGACAAATATCTGTCAGCAGTGTCTTGTAGGTACAGCTGGATTTGCCTTGGGGCAAGAGGATGGCCTAGATGATCTTCTGATGTCTCTTCCAGCTCCAGCATTCTCTGTGTGCGCTTAAACTTCATCTGTTGCTTAAAAATCTCTTCTGGGAATTGTGATCAGCTCAGCCCCTGCCTTCTCTGAGTGCATGTTTCTGGGAAAGGAGAGCAATCTGGGAGAGGCCAGGGAGTGGTGGGCAGGATTGCTCCCTGCTGGTCAGCCTAACAGCAGCCTTGGCATTCCTTCAAAGGCGTGCTGTCACCCTCCTTCAAGGCAGAAAAAGGGATTCTGGCCAGAGGCCAAGCACAGCAAGTTAAGAGACAAACAAAAGACAGTTGTGTGAGTGGAGGAGAATGAGAGTGATTTCTACAGTTTGGAAAAGAAAAATAGCTTGGCTCTTCTAAAACAATAGGTGGTAAGTATCCGTATGGAACTGCATTCTGCAGCACCTCAGGGCTGGTGAGCACTCTGTGAAAACAAACTGAAATTGGAAACAGGGCTCTGAGGTGAGGTGCTGGGATAGCTGGAAAGCGGTGGGCGGATGGGTCTGAGCTCCGGGCTCTGAGCTCCTGAAAGATGCAGGCAAGCTTTAGTCCTCTCAGCTGAAAGGGTGGTCAAGCATTGGAACAGGCTGCCCAGAGAAGTGGTGGAGTCCCCATCCCTGGAAGTGTTCAAAAAACGGGCAGACGTGGCACTTTGGGACATGGTTTAGTCTAGTCTACCCTTGATTGGTTTAGAGTGGACTTGGTAGTGTAGGTTAATGGTTGGACTGGGTGATCTTAAAGGTCTTTTCCAACCTAAACGATTCTATGATTGTATGATTCTATGAATTACTGGTTGGGCATCCAGTTACTCCGCTTTTGGAAATAAAGGCAGGAGATGTTGTCAGGACAGAAATTTCTAGACGCTTTCTGAACTCATCCTGTGACGGTGTCTCTAACATGAGATTAGATAGCTCTTCCCTGGTCCTGCCTTCTGCACCAGCGTCCTTTGGGTGTACCTGAAGCTGTCCTCTGTGCTGGATGTGCCAGTCCAGACACTTGGCTCTGGGTTGGCTCAGGGCATGGTCACACCAAGGTTGTACCTGCTCAGTGTCTTCCTCAGGTATGAGTCCAAGCAGCTCAGCTCATTTTACGTTGGGGTTTCTGTAGCACCTTACACGTTAAAGGCTGTGCTTGCTTCAGCCACGCCATGCCCAACTCTAGCACGCCACAGGTTTGACAGTTTGGGGAGGGGACCGTCAGATACACTTCAGCTTTGCAACGCTCTCTTCAGATTTTTACCAAACTTTATATACAACTTGTGCCTGAGGAAGAGTTGGGGCAGTCACAGAACTGCGCAGGCTGTTTTGTTTGTGGTGATTATTGATTTATAAATGGAAATTTTAACATCAGATTTATAGCCTTAGGCTTTACCTTCATACCATGCTGTCAATCTGTAATAAGTATTCTGGGAGAATACTTTAGGCCTTAAGCCAAACTGCATTTTACCAATTTAAAATTAACACTTTGAATATTTACCCAATACCTGACCAACAGTAGTATTCCTCTGAGCACCATTATTCAAGGAACACTGAAGAGTTTTCAGCTCTGGAAGTACGTCTCTGTTAAGGGAAGGCCAAAGTAGTATTCCCAACCTGAAAAACATTCTTAGAATAGGAAAAACATCAAAACAAAGAGCATCCCAGGGAAGCCAAATACATTTAGAGAGACAGCCTGCTCTCTCAGTGTACTCGTTGGCACTCACTCTGTGCTCTTCTAATTTCTGTTGGTTTAAGGTATATTTAACAAGTGCAAGAAGAAAGAAAGAAATCTTTGGGCTGAAGCTACTGTAAAAAGTACAAGCCCCTGAGAACTCCTTATCTGATATCTAAAAAGAATAGGAAATATCTGGGTTATAACAGAAAAGCCTCCATAAACTTAACTTTGGAGTCATTTGTGTGGTTGTGCAGCAAAAGGGAATGTCTGAAGGTTTTTTACTTAGAAGTGATTTCATTAATTATTGCCATGTTCTCTCAGTTCTTACGTTTCAGTCTTCGAAGAGGTCTTGGAAATTACTTCTTGGTGGAAAAAATCTCCAGGGATCAGTATGGAATTTAAACTCTGTTGGATCTATCCTTTAATGAGCTTCCTATAGCTTTTTCTCTTAGAAGATACCAGCAAGATGTGTACCACTTGTGTGTGAGCTACAAGTGCCTTAAAGACCCTCTACTTTAGCAAAATATATTTTGTATAACATGGAATTAAGTATATAAAACCCCAAATTTGTGGCACTCCAGGTGTTTTAGAGATTCAAATATCTGCTATGGAAATGACATAAATCCCACTGGGGGGGGGGGGGGAAACGCACTGTGGGGGGGGGGGGGTGGTGGTGCTATAAAAATTGTATCAAGAAGGAAATATTTCATACTAACACATTGATCCCTTTTTTATGCATAGTTTTAATGATATTCCTTCAGTTCCTTTAGTTGTTTTGACCATAGACTGTTCCAAGTGAAAAAGGAGGATATAAGGAGTCTTAAAGAGATTTGCACATCTTTTTACTGAGATTGCAGTATCTGAAAACTAAGGGACTAGCCTGACTCAGCGAGGCCATTTCAGTATTCTACTTGTTTTCCAAGTATCTCCCTAAAGTTGCAACTCTTAGGAGTGAAAATATTCTTCCTGACAGCTAGATAAATACAGAAGAGTTCTGGTGAAACCCAAAGCATTAGTCTAGATTTATACCACTGCAACTAAAAGCAGAATTTAGCACAAACTGTGGAGCAACCTTATGTCAATTAGCAGTGCTTGTTTGTTTAATAATTTTTGAAATGCACTTTTTATATGATCCTTCATCAAAATTGAGCACAGGTACCTCCATGGGGGTTGAAACCGGGTGAGTTCCCCCAAAGTAGTTGAAAGCTTATGAGTTAATAGATATGCTTGAAACTTCTTGCCAGCCTTAAACATTTTTAGTTAGTCTTCTTCCCTGCTGTAAATCCAAGCGTCTATATTTCCCCTCACCTACATGTCTCTGTCCTTGCCAACAGCATGCTCTTCTAGTTTATATATAGGTGACTTACACAGCTAACTTGTCATCAGGGAAGTTGAGCATACTGTAAACATGTTCTTCCTTCCCGCTAACAGAAATTACTCCTTGATGCCTTTCCATTCCCTCCCACCCCCCAGTTTAGGTGTTAACGAGAGACCAAGAATCCATAAAGGACAGCTAGTTTTACCAAGCTCATTCAGATGCTGATCCTGCTGTAGTCTCCACCCCTTTGCAGAGTCCCATGACTTGCTATAATGAAAGCTTCTTTCCTTGTCATCACGCAGAAGTGTGTTGCTCTTACCAGGATCAGTTCTTGTTGCTGAATCATCCCAGCCATGGCTAATTGAAATGCCAGGCAGGCTCCTAGGATAGAGCCGTTTGTTCCATCTCTCTTTGCGCTTCCGTAGACAGAAGCAGGTTTTCACCATGCTGATCAAAAATGATGACAGGAAAAGGGCTGCTTTGTAGTCTCTTCTCCAGTGCCATTTACACCTTGCTATGGGAATGATGGAGATTTTCTCCAGCTCTGCCCTACTGCCCACACCCCGTTTCTTTTGCTATCCATGTATTGTGAGATGAAATACCTCACATTGACCTGGAAGGGTGCATGCTTTAACTGTAGGCCAAACGCTGTCTTTACAGCTATAAATCATGGGGGGCTTTTACACACCTGTTCAGCAGACCCCTCCCACTTACCCCATTGCACTGAAACTACAAATGGAAAATGCAAACCAGCTTGGAGTTTGTCCCTGCAAACAAGTACAATAGTAAGAAGGCAGGATGGGTTTGTGCTGAGGAACCATGACTGTGTCCGCAAGGGCATGCCTTCAAATGCCCTTGAACTGTAGCATCAAGCACCGTCGCTTTGCGTCCAGTCTTCCAAATCCTGCCGCACATCAAGCACAGCCTGGCAGCATGTCTTGTAAGTCTACTTCGACTCTTATTTCTACCTTGGTAAATTGCTTCT